AGCATGAGGCCATGCAGAGGAACCCTGCTGGGCAGGCCGAGGGGTTCTGGGTGTCAGGCACTCCCTTTTTATTTCACACCCTGAGCAGCCTTCAAGCAGGGCCAGTCTCTACACTCTGAGAGAAAATTAAAAGCATCCACGGAAGTGCTAGCTCTGCAAAACACGCGCAGTGCTGCTGTTGCTGGTTGGCTGCCTGGACGGCTCGAGTGAAACCCAGACTGAAACAAGACGCCCGTTGCTTAGGGATCGTGGCTGAGCTGCTGAGGCGTCTTCTGTGGTTTCCCAACCTGCATGGGGCCGGGGGGAGAGGGGCAGCATGTGGGGCTGAGAACTGGAGGCTCACGTGCAGATCTATGTGAGCAGCAGTGTCAGGGCACATGGCAGACGCAGAGCCACACAACAGCAATGGGAAGCTGCCCCCAGCCCAGCGTAAAGGCCCAGATGTCGGGCAGCAGCGACAGCACAGCACCCCAGCTCAAGGCCACAGGGAAGAGTGATGACAGCAGAAAGGCAGGCTGGCAGCCAACGGGATGTGCCAGTCCCAGGATGCTCCAACCCTTGTGGTGATGCTGTGAAGGTGATGCTTCTGCCAGGCAGGGCTTGGAGCATGTCCGCTCTGTGGCACAGCTCTTCCTACGTTGTCCCCCCAGTGACAGGCACCAGCACCATCCCACTCCAGCAAGCACATCTCTCCTTGCTATGCTGACATAGCACCGAGGCCACAACCTCTTCCCAAGGCCCAGTGCCAGGTACCAGGGCAGCCTGGGCTCTCCCAAACCCCAGCACACAGCAATCAGGCCTGGGCAGCACTCCCAGGAGCACCTCACCCTGCGAGGGAGTCCCAAGAGCTGGCCATGGCCAGGTTCCAAACCTGCCAGGTGTCAGAGGGAAAAGCTGGCAGGGAAGCAGGGAACACCCCACCAAGGGCCAGAGCCCATCCCAAAGGAGGGTAAGGAGTTGCTAAGGGACAGGCACTGCTACCATGCAGCTGCGGCCAAAGCCTCCTTGCTGCCTGCTGCTCCCGGCTCTATTTTAAGCACAAGCAGAAGCTGCTCTGAGCACACGGCGGGGAAATGAGACAGTCACACTCACCTCCCCACTGAGTGCCCGCCTGGTGCCAGCATGGAGGGGGGATCCCCACATCGGGACGCCCTCCAGATTCAGCCAGGGTCTGAACCAAACACACAACACAGGCTTCCTTCCCATCACTGGGCTGTGCGGGCAAACATCCCTCCATTGGGGACACTGGGGACATCAGCAGAGCTGTACGGGAGCCCTGACAGCATGGCACCATCCTGCATGCTGCTGTGCTGTACGTGGACCAGGCTGGGGACGGATCCAGCAGGAAGCAGGGCATCGTTTTCCTTTCCTGGGTGAGATCCCGCGGCACACAGCACGGCTGCAGCTGGGGCTCACTGTGACCGACCTCAGCGCCGCGCTCCGGCCAACGGTACGTCTGCAAACATCTGCAGGGTGACGTTTGCTGGTTCCCCAGGACAACTGCAAATGCACACCAGTGGCTCCCGGCCACACGGGGCCCTGCAGCACATTGTGATTCTTCAGCAACGTGAAGTTTTTCAGGTCTCCCGGTTTCCATCTCCGCCCTACAGGCTGCCCTGATTTCACAGAGCATTTGCTGATTTTAGGTGATACCAGTAGCTAAACAAGGGCTCTGGGGGAATCTGCCACCTGGATCCTCGAGGGCTCAGAGAGTTTTTAGGTCTCTGCCCTTTCAAATGTGGGGACCTGGAAGAAAGATCAGCCAAAGGGGCCAAAGCAAAGCTCTCGTGACCAGCTGAGCAGGGAGCTGCCACGGCTCAGCAGCAAAACCTCACAGCAGGACCAGCACTGTCCCCATCTCAGAGCCCTCGCAGCTATTTTTGGATGCTCAGGCAGCCCAGCTGTGGTTCACCTCCACCACACACTCATCTCACCGCTTCATTTAAGCCCTCCCTGGACCTTTGTTTGCTTCTTGATACATAAAGGGGAAGAACAACACTGCCACACACCTGCATACCCCTGGCCCAGCAGCCAGAGACTGACTCCTTCCTCCTCCTGTCCCCATATCTCCTTAACTCCACAGCCACACCAGCGCTTCCCAAATTGCTTGGCACAGAAACAGCCCTGCCATCCCTCTGCCAATGCAGCATCTGTCACGGTGCCCTAGCTGGGAACAAGCCAGAATTTCTGCAGTAATACAGAATTCCCCATTTCTGAGCACACGGTGGCAGTTGGGACCCCCAAGACCTCACTGCTGGCCTGACAGCCCTGGGCTGACTTTCAACCTGGCTTTTTCCCAGTAGCTCTCCCAGTTTGGGATGCCTGCCCAGAAACTGGCTTGCACCAATGTGCTCTCACAACACCAGGATGCAGCAGCCCTGCTATGGCACTGCTGTCCCTAGGCTGTGAGATGGACCCAGGTCATGTGCAATAGCACAGATGGATCACCAGCACAACACTTCACACCTTACTGCTAATCCCATACCCTTCAAAGTAAAGAAGTGAATCCATTAACACCAAGAGTTTTGAGAAGTGATTAAAAATGCAGTTGGTATATGAGAGGTATATATGCCTGCCAGGCTCCTGGCAGCCTGAACAGCCAAGTGTCCCTCAGGGGCCTGCAGTGACATCTCAGTGATGCCCTGGCCAGAGGTGGCTGGCTGGGACCCTCATCACAGCCAAAGCCAGCATGGGGAGAACCTGCTGCAGGGTTATGCAGGGACTTACCCTGAACCTGAAATCAGACAGGGGGAGGCAGTTGGTGTGGCTGAAGGTCCTTTGTCCCTATGTTGTGGGGGTCCTGCTGCTCCCCCACCCTGAGTGGGATGGAAGGAGGGGGAAGGGAGCCTCTATGAAAGGAGGAAGAGAGATTGGGACAGCCAGTTTCACAAGAAGCCTGGTTCCCGTGTTGCTGAAAGCTGTGCACTTGTCCCAGCAGCTCTCTGCCAGGGCTCCTGCCAGGGACCCAGGAGGTTTGGGAGAGACTTTGGATCTCCACTTTGACCTTTTTGATCACTTCTCAGTTTAGGCCTTCAAGCCCCCTGGAGCACAACTAGGCCCCATCTCACCAGCGGAAGGTGACGTTTCCTGAGGCCTCGCAATCGCAGCTGAAGCACCTCAAGGTCCCCATCCCCTTCCTGAAAGCACCGCAGGCATCACCCCAGAGCCATTACAGGCACAGCCACAATCTGAACCTCACCCTGCAGTCTGCACCCAAAGCAACACACGGCGCCGTGGGCACACAGCAAGTTACAGCAAAGCCCCATCCCAGGGGTCCCAGGAGCCACCCAGACCCTGCGTTGCAGAGCCCTTTGCCGTGATCCCTCTGCAGTGACAGCAAGCCAAAACAGATGCAGAGGAGTCACAGCCTGTGTCTGCAGGCAAAGCAGACACTTCAGCTGCGATGCCTGTCCCCAGTAATCCTCAGTAATTGCTGCACGGCGGAAAAGCCTGTAAATAATCTGTGCTGGGCCGGGCCGGCGGGTCCTGCCTGCCACGGGGCCACACACACACACTGCAGAGCATCTCAGGTCACGGCGCCGGTGCTGCTCCGGCCCTCGTTGTGTAACGGCAGCCGACGGAGCTGAGCCCGCAGCCGGAGCCGGGCTGCTGCTCCCGCACCAGCTCAGGTGAGCACATGGGCTCGCTGCAGGGATAAGGGGATTAAAACAGCAAATATGAACGCAGAAAATGTTTCCCTGCTCTCGGTGCATTGCCGACCTGACTTTGCCGTGGAGCTTTTTGGTGAGTGAGGACACACAGGAGCACGACCTTCAGAGCGTGCCCTGGCTCCCCACGTGCGGGGCTTTGCGGGGAGGGAGAGTCGCGCTGCTCTCGCCTCCGCGCTCCGGAGCTGCAAAGGGAGGAAAAGGCCACAGCGCTGCGTGCGGGGGAAGGCACAGGCACGGGGACCGCGTCCAGCACAGCTGTAAGCGAAGGTCACGGCCATCCTTCCCCTCCCAAGGACAGAGATGAGCTGCCAGCAGCTCAATCCAGCGTTGCCGGCGGCCGGCACTCAGCTCACCTCCTTCTGCTCTGCCTACCCGAGAGCCTCATGGGACTGTGGGGCTGCAGGCGGGGGTGACTCGCCCCGCGGCACAGGACAGCCGGCGGTTTGCCCCAGACCACGCAGCGAGGCTGGGGCTGATCTGCGCAGTCCTCACCCCGGCGCTGAGATGGAGAGAGAGGGAGGGGGAGACGGAGAGCGCTGCCGGGATGTGCTGGAGAGGAGCAGGGGAGGAGGTGAGCGAGGCAGGTTGATATCTGTAGCACCGGCTCGCTGCAGCGTGCACGGCTGGCAATGCTCGCCGGCTACGCGCTGCCAGCTCCGGGCCTGCCGCCGGCTCCTCAGCCCCATCCTTGCGGCTGCAGAGCTTCCCCGGGGCCGAGGACAGCGTCACCCGAGCGGGCAGCACGGAGCTCGGGGCATCCCGCTGGCAGTCCCCGTGAGCAACGGGAGGAGACGGCCCACGCCGCGGTGATGGGAAAGGAGGGGAAGAAAAAAAAGAAAAAAAAAAAAGCAGAGAAAAGCCCGGCCAGGACTGCGGCTTCTCCAGGACTCACCAGGACGCGGCTGAAGCGCTCCTCCAGCTCGTCCGCGGCGGGCATGGGCTGCCGGGCGGGCGGCGGCGGCCGCGGTGGGGTGGCGGCGGCGGCGGGGCCCGGAGCCCGGGGGTCTCGGTTCTCTCTGGCCGCAGCCCCCTCCATGCCCCCGGCCGCGTTGCCCATGGCGCTGCCGCCGGGCCCGGGGTGCCCGGGGTGCCGGAGATGGAGAGGAGCGGAGCGGTCACGCTGCAGTGAGCTGGGCTGGGCAGGAAGCGGAGCTGCAGGAGGGATGGGGCGGGTGAGTGTCGGGGTGTTTTTTCCCCTTCTCAGTCTCTCTTCGCCGCTCGCAACTTCTCCTGGGCGTTATTGAGCCGCAAACGCCTCCCCCCGCCTACACCCCCGCCCCGCGGGCAGGGCTCCGCTGCGCCCCGGTCCCGACCGGCCGCCGTGCCCCCACAGCCCCGCGCCGCAGCCCCGGCACCTGCCGCCCTCCGCCGCAGCCCGGCTCCAGGGTCCCAAAGCCCACGGCTGCGCGGCGCCGGGCTGCGCCACGGGGTTGGTTTCATTTTAATAATATTTTTGTAAGGAAGGGAAGGAGGGAGGCAGATGGGGCTGGGGAGGGCAGGGGGGACGGCTGGGGGCCCTCCTCTCTTCCTCTTTTCCCCTCGGCTGCCAAAGGAGGGAGAGCGGAGGCTGTGCAAACTCACCGCACCTCTGGGCAGGGCTCTGAGCATCCCCAGCAGCGGGGTTGGAGCTCCGGGCAGGGCGGCACCGGCACGCCTCAGGGCTGGGGCATGGATGGATGGCAGACAGCTGTGCTGGTGGATCAAAGATGTGCTGTGACACTGCCCAGCGCCCCATCCCGGCTCTGGAGGTGCCTCCCCAGGAGCTGACAGGGCGCTCTGTGTGGGGACACCTGGCCATGACAGGCACAGAACTACCCACTGCCCTCAGTAGAGGATGCAGGAAAGGATGAGGCAGCTGTTCTCACCCCGTTAACATGCAGCTCCTGCTTCCTGACAGCCCTGGCAGAGCAAGGAGCAATTCATCTCCTCATGGCTCCTGCTGCACTGGCATCAATAAATGCAGTTCTGAAAAGCTGCCATTACACGAGCACATTATTCCCGATGAGAGATAAAGAGCTGCCAAGGGCCATGTAAGGACAGAGATCAGGACCCCCTGATGTGTGCCGACACCCAGCAGGGTGACAGCCCCACTCACCCGCCCGGGCTCCGATGCTGGTTCCACGTCTGCCTGGGTGTCGCAGCATCTCCTGATCTGCAAAGTGTGCCTGGTCACCTGCCGAGGTGTCAGGGCAAGCCACCTGCCACTCCGGAGGCCTGTGTGCTGAGAGAATGAGCCAGACCTGTTCTGCCAACCTCTGCAGCAAAGCAGGGATTGTTACCCTCACCACATGGCCTCAAAGCACTCCCACCCTTCTGCAAACCCCAGATCCCACACAGGAATGTGTGACGTGTCCAGGGGAAGGCTGACAGGAGGGAGCTGCCACAGGTTCCCGACCTGACCTCGATGCCATGCTGCACCCTCCTCACACTAAGCACCATTCTCTGTGCCTTGGGAGGCCTGAGAGGAGCCACGGGCAGCTCCCAGACACAGAAATTGGGGTCACCCACATTACGGTACGTTCTGACATTCCACAGCTTGACTTTGCAGTTTAAATATCTTAGTTTCATTAAATATTTCATCATTTCACTGAATGTTTTGCATACAATTCTCTAACATCTGCTCCCCCTGATCCCAGCTGGGGTACAGGGCGAGAACAGTCTGCCTGTGCAGGAGATCCAGCATGAAAAACAGGCCCAAAGATGAGCCCCAGGCTGCCCACTGGGCCAGGCTGAGGTCCCAAAGAACCAGAGCAGCCCTCCTGGCTGCAGGGTGCCCCACACCAGGGGGAAGTGCGATCCCTTGAGGGCTGCCCCACGCCAAGGCCGTGTGCCAGCAGAGCAGCACGCTGGCAGGGAGGTGACGCAGGGCAAAGCCGAGAGCCTCCACCACCAGGAGAGGCAGAGATGAGGCCCACGGTCCCAATTCCCGGCCGCGGGGAGCGCTGTGATGGCGGGAGGGGAGCAACGGCGGCACGGCACCAATGGCTGCGCTGGCACACCTCCATACGGCGGCCCCGGCTCCGGAGCCGGGCACCAGGAAGGGCAGCGGTGCCGCTCGCCTCAGCCCCGCAGCAGCAGCTCCGGCTGCTCGGACAGCTCAGCCGCCTGCTGCCCCCCCCCGGCCCCGGAGCGCAGCGCAGCCTCACCCGCGCCCACACGGACCGAGGCGGTGCAGCACCGTGGCCTGAGGGGAGACCCCTCGCCCGCCACCGGGCTCAGCTTCGCCGCTGTGCCTTCAGATGACGTTTCCAGCCTCCACCGAAGGGCCGGCCCAGGACCGAGCTGCCCCGGGAGCCCCGGGAGAAGCGGAGCCCGTCGAGAGCAAAGACGGAGGAAGGCGGCGTCGAGCGACGGAGCCTGGGACAAAATGGCGGCGGGCGCTGACAGGGTCTGAGGGGGCGGGGCCTCGGGAGGAGCGGGCACTCATTGGCGGCCCCGCAGCCAATAAGGCCTCAGAGCCTCGGGGTCGGATGGTGGCGGGAGGTGCGAGGTTCTTCATTGGTTGGGTCATTCCGGAGCTGGCCAATCCCGTTGAGAGCGTGAGGCGGGGCCGAGGCCTTGTGTCACGTGAGAGCCGCCATGTTGGAGCGGCCCTGCGGCGCCTGCTGCCAGGCGGGGACGGAGGTCGGTTTGCCTCGAGCTTCCCTTAATGAAGTATTGTGGTGAGATAATTTACTAACAGATCGTCTATTCAAGAATGGAGCCAGCTGTAGTCGTAAAACACGGTGAGGCCCATCTGGGCGTAGCTGAGATGTGTGATTCAGGTATTGCTGATCTTCTGTTCATCATCCCTTTCCACTTACAGCTTGTATCACCATTAAGTGCCTTTGCATCCGAGGTCTGACGTTCTGCCTGCCTTCTCTCCACTCCTCTGCTATTTTATTAGTGATGTGTGAAGCTTTTATCTGGTGCTGCCCGTGAGTTGGTAGCTGTGCACTCCCTGGTGTAGCAGTCCTTAAAAGAGCGTTCTGGAAGTGATGAATTCACTTCAGTGTTTGCCCAGTGCTGATTTTTTACACTGAGGTTCACCTCAGACTTAGGTTTGTTTTCTTAATTCAGTTCAACTCGCAGCAAAATACCTGTAGAGGAAATCACAAATCACACTTCCTGGTTCCCCTCACCCTGAGTTTGCAGGAGGGAGAAATTCCACAGAGAAATATCATCGTATTCCTTGGTGTTAGTGCTGCCCAAGCGGTATCTGTTGGTCCGAATAAGCATTCTTATGCCTAGACTCTGCAACCCAAAGTAAACACGAGCTCTTCCTTAACGCTTGGCTCTGACTGAGACCCAGAACCTTGAGGTTTATTCAAGCAGCTGACCGTTCCTTGCATACCTCTGAGGAGCTGGACCCAAGAATAAGGAAGAGAACCACTTATCAAGGTTCTCCAGCTGCGCCACTCTCCCCTTCCATCTTGCTGGGAGGCATCCAGTGATTGGTGTCGGTGCCCTGAAGTGGTGTGGCTGAAGCGAAGGTAAACCAGAGGGAGTCAGTCTCGATTGAAGGATCACTTATTAATTCCTTTCCTTGCAAGAGCTGAGATTGGATTTCTATTTTCAGTGCTGCTGAATTTCTCAGTAATTGTAATGAGTTCCAGGTATAACTCCACTCTTCATTTAGTCTATTGCTTTCTCTGACAAGTGTTCATTGTTCTGTGTTAAGCCACGGGAAGTAGTGGAAGGAGAAGAAATGTGTGCTGGAGGACACAGGCTTCTGTAGATAAATCAGCTTCTGTAGGTAAATTAATGTTTGCAGAGTCAAGTAGATGCAATCCTGAAGCAAAAGGCAAGATGATAGAGAGAAAGCTTGTATCTGAACACTAGGATGTGAATTTTCAGGGCTGTGGGTAGTTTGAAAAACAGACCGAGATAAACATAGTTCCCAATGAGAAATATTTTGGTAATGTCACATGGTAAATAGCTCATCAAGGGATTGATTATATGTAAGTTGGTGTTTGCTTATCATCCACAGCTTGAAGGCATTCTGCTTGGTTCCCGAGGGATGTGTGTGAGTTTAGATCAGCCAGAGTCTGCGTAATGAAGAAAACATGGAACAGATGATACTAATGGGTGGAAATTAGGATATGATGTATGCGAGCATCAAGAAAAGCACTTGGAGGAGTAATGGAGGAGAATAGGGTTCTTCAGTGCCCCTGTTTCTCTGGGAATGGAAGATAAATACCACAGACAGAATATAGAATGATTGTGTGTTTCTGGGAGCTTCTCCTCCAACTCAGAACCAGAATCACTTGTGAATTTGGCCAGAACCCATTGTCAGGAATGAAAAGTGTGTCTGTCACAGATTCTTACCAGGTTCTCTATAGCAGTGAGTTCACTTCTGCTGCTGAAAATGTCTCTTATGGAAAAAGACAGCAAGTAGATGAACTCTATCAGGAGTTGCCTGACACAGTCTTTGAAGAGTCATATTTGGAATTCTTGCTGGGAATGACCTACAGCATACACAGCAGCAACAGTGGCATCACGAAAAGAGGACTCGGGGGGAGGGGGTGCTCGCCAAAAAGTTTGCCCTGTGCACTGAGTGTAGGTCTGTGTGTGCACCAGCTCCCAAATCCGTCTGGATTCCCTTTCCTGCAATGCATCTATTGTTTACAAGGGAAAGAGGGAGCCAAATCCTGGGCAGAGCGTGCTTGAACCCTGCAATACCACAGTAGTTGCTTTCTTGCTGGCTTCCCATGGGGAAATGTACGCAAAAGCAGCTGTCAGGAATTGATATTATTAACAGGAACAGGCTCTTGCCACAAAAATATGAGCTGGGCCTGTGTGCTGATAAGACCATTTCATCGAGGGGGTCCACACTGTGATAGCAAAACAGGAAGGTCACAGCATCCTTTCCTATTAGTCCAAGAGAAGAGCAACTAGGAGCTATGAAATCCTCCAAAATGAGGATCTGCAGACACCTGAGCTCATTTCACTTTTCTGGGGGCTGCTACAGCACGACAAATTCTGCCACTGGCTCCTCCTGCCACAGTGACTACAGGCCTTCTAAATGGAACAGTGAATTATCTAGTTCTTTGTTGCCCATTCAGCAGCAGTTCTGAGAGCTGGTTTCCCTTCTATCTGTGTCATGTGAGCGTGCCCTGTCAGAGCCCCCAGACACACATCCCTGCAGTAGTTCGAAGTGAGTGGATTCGGTTCTCTTTGATAAAAATAATGCTTTCCTCTTAATGCCTCATGGTCTCACCTCCAGCCTCAAGGAGCAAAGAGCAGGAAAGGAGACACAGTGGGTGGAGGAAAAGAGGAAGGGGTACAGGCGTGCCTCAAGCATTACTTGGCACAGCCTCACCACAACAGTGCACACAGGGCTGCACCATTCAGACTGGGGCACCTTTGCAAGCTCTCCAGCTTCAGCATTTGCTGGGAGAAGGCATCCTCCAGCCCAGCTTGAACAGGAGGGATGGGTTCACTGGGTCAGAGGAGTGCAGCAAACAGCTATTCTCCAGAGCCTGCTCAGCACCACCAGGAGCAGGAAAAGACGAGGACATTTCCTGCCTGTTGCTTCCAAATCCTGATTTCTACCTAACCTGCCACCTTAAGGTGAGGTTTGAGGTCACGCTGCAGTTTCTGAGCCCCCTCAGTCCCTGCTGGTTACAAAGTTAGCACAAAAACTAGGAGACCAGAACCCCCAGAGGTGGCTGAATGTGCAAGACAGGCTTTAAACTAAGAGAACAGGAGAAGGGGAGGAAGCAGCAGCCCTAGGAGGGAGCAGTGGACAGACTTACTGGGCACGAGGCGCTGTGACAGGGGGAATCACAAAATCAGCTTGAAGCTTTGGCAGGTTCACTTTTAGCACTCAGTGAGTATTCAGAAGCACCCCCAAACCTCTTACAGAAGCTCAGCACGCTGAGGAGCCCGCACTACTGCATATGGGGAATAAACACAGCATGCTTGCAGGTGCAGGGCTATGACCTTGTTGGGATCACAGAGGTGGCTCCCACAGCTGGAGCATTGCAACAGAGTGATAGAGGCTCTCTAAGAATAAGATGAAAAGATGAGGTTGGATTGCTTCTCTTCCCTGTAAGGGAGCAGCTGAAGTGCACAAAGTGCTGTCCAGGGTTGGAGAAGGAGCAAACCAGGAGTTCACAGGCTCGGGTTAAAGAGGGACTGGATAGAGCTGCTGTTGTGATGGGTGCCTGCTCCAGGCCACCTGAGCAGCAAGGACAAGCAGACGAGGCCCTCTACAGGCAGGTGGCAGCAGCCTCACAGGCTCAAGCCCTGGTCCTTCATGGGACCCCATGGAGGGACAGCACAGCAGAACATAAACAATTCAGGAGGTTTATGGGGTGCATTGATAAGAATTGTTGAGAGTAGATATTGCTGATCTGGTAGACTTCAAGTCAGTCCTTTGATACTGTGCCCTATAGGGCACGCAAACAAGCTGTTGTTGTGTGGCCTGGTTGGGTGATAGGAGGTAGATTGAAAGCAGCCTGAATAGCAGAGCCCAGAGGATGGCTGTCAGCAGTGCCAGGTTTAGCTGGAGGTTAGTAACTAGCAGCATACCCCAGGAATCAGTGTGGGTCCAGACTTGCTCAGCATCTTTGTTAGTGTTGTGGATGATGGGACACAGAGTATCCTCAGCAAGGCTTCAGATTGGAGCCCAACAAGGGACTCAGAGAGTCTGAAGCACCTCCGAGGAAAGGCTGAGAGATCTGTGGCTGTTCAGCCTAGAAAAGAGAGGGTGCAAGGGATCTTCTCAATTTGTATATATACCTGAAAGGAGAGTGCCATGAGGACAGAGCCAGGGCACAGTGCTACCCACACCCTTAGAGGGAAGATGCTTCCTGAGGGTGGACTTCAGAGATTCTAGTAAGCCATCCCCACTCAGTCCCTGCCCCAGGACACAGAGTTAGCCTCCTTCCTGAGGCCGTGGTAGCAGCCCACAAAGGGTTGGAACAGCTTTGGGCAGCTCTCCCCCCCCCACCCCATGATGGGGGGACAAAGGAGCAGCACAGGGTGCAAGAGATCCTCAGTGCTTTATTGGGCTCACAAAATATGCAGCAAGAAGAGCCAGGCTGCAGCCCCAGTCCAGGCAGCCATGCAGACAGGAGCACCATTTCCTTGCTGGGACAAAAGACACGCCTGTCCCCACACCAGCACAGGGACACCTACCACTGGCTGGCAAGGTCATGGTATAAACTGCAGGCATGTAGAAGGCTTGTCCTGGTGATTCTTCTTCCCTTCACCAGCACTCTGTGGCTCAGAGCAGCACAGCAGCACTGTGCTAGGCCTTGCCTCCAGCCTCCATGCTACCATTATTGTCTTCACCTGTTGGTGGCTCTGAGGTGCTGGGATCTCTTTGAGGCAGAGACCCACAGCCTTGGTCCTCTTCTGCACTGCAGCATGAGTCTGTGGGCAGATGGACAGAGAACAGTGAGGAGCCAGCTTCATGCAACTCTGTTCTGCTGCTGGAGAAACCTATGTGACACCTGTAGGGAGCAGGAGCTGATCCTTGATCTTGGGATCATGTACAGGTCTAGTGCTGCAGCATAGGACATGCCTGCTCTAAGCCTTCAGCAGAGCTGGCTCCTCAGGTTGAAGGCATGAGACAGCTTTAGGGCACTGTAGCTGGCCTAGAAGCTCTGCACTAGGGACATGCCCAGCATGTCCAGCAATACAGGGCAGCCAGAGCAGAGGTGGGGGAAACTGACAGGGAACACAAGGCGGTGGGGGGGTGGCAAAGCAGAGAGAACTGGGGTTTATGGGTTAACAGTTCAGCACCATCACCTTCCTCATCCTGAGTCTCTGATGCTCTCCTGTCTTGGTTCTGGGACAGCAACGTGAGCCTGTTGATGGCCAGTAGGGCTTTGCCTGTTTTCTGGAGAGAAGGAAAAGAGCATTGAGGCTCACCTTCATGCCCTCCACTGTCCCCCAGGCACAGCCTGCCCCACATACCTGCCACTTCCGACGGGTGAGGAACTGCTTGATCCGCTCCTTTGGCAGTGCCTTCATGCTTCTGGGCAGAGGCTGCTGTAGCCAGGGGTGCTGGAGGGCCCCTGGGCTGGAGAGCCGGCAGCTAGGGATGGATTCAGTTTGGGGGGCTGCCCTCTGGCCCTTGGTGCGACACCATTCTGTCTGCTCAGCACAGAAGGGTTTACACCTTCCCCTGCTCATCCCTGGGCAGGAGCATCTGCTCCCTTCATCTTCCTCACACCCCAAATCCAGCTCTAACCATGGGGCTCACCCCACACTCGGATCTTACCGAGGATCCTTCTGCAGCAGCTGGCTGATGAAGTCCTTGGCCTGCTGGGAGATGTCTGAGAAGATCTCCTCCTCAAATTCCCACTGGGCAGCTGTGATGTTGCTCAGTGTTTCCATGTCATTCTCTCCCTGGAAGGGGGACTCCCCACTCAGCCTGAAGAGAGGGCAGAAAACTTCAGGGACAGCTCAGCCCCTTCCTGAGCAACTGCTGTCCCCAAGAGTCCACTCACAGGATATAACAGATGACACCGACACTCCACATGTCTGTGGCAAGCCCCACAGGCTCAAAGGAGACCACTTCTGGAGCCATGAACTCAGGGGTTCCATGCAGCACCTTCACAGGGGTGTCCGGAGCTGCAGAGGAGATGGAGCCCATGGGCAGGCAGCCCTCTGGCAGCCCAGCTGAACCCAACATGTGCCCCTGCACCCAGCTGGAACATCCTGTTGTCACCAACGGTCCCCCCCTCACTCACCCAACTTCCGTGCCAGGCCGAAGTCAATGATCTTGAGCCAGTGGCTGGCTGGGCTGACGCAGACAATGTTCTCAGGTTTGAGGTCAAGGTGGACTACAGCCTGGCCATGCATGTACTGCAGCCCCTCCAGGATCTGCCGCATGTATTGGGTGCTGCTGGGCTCTGTGTGCTCGAAGTCATCATCCACAATCCGCTCAAAGAGTTCCCCACCAGCCACACTGCAGGTGCAGGCAGAGTGCTGGGAACCACACAGGGATCTGCAGATTCCCAAACCACCCTGCACTCCATGCCACCGTCCCAGGGCACAGAGACCCACCCCAGCACCATCCCACTGCCCCACACTCACTACTCCATGACCATCACCAGCTCCGTGGGACCCTGGAAGGCAGCAAGGCACTGCACGAGGCGCGGGTGATGCAGCAGGTTCATCAGCTCAACCTCAGCCCGAGCCGCCTGCTTCTCCTTGGCTGTCCGTGTCCGGAAGAACTTCCCAGCCCGAATCTTGCCTGTGGCTTTCTCCTGCAGCCGATACACCGTCCCAAACTTGCCCCTGGAACAGAGCAAGCAGGAGGGATGGAGGAGCTGTCCCCATCACTACCACCTCACATCCCACCCATAAGCAGACCCTACAGCTCAGAGCTGGTGGGGATTGCAGGACCCATACTTACTCTCCAAGCTTCTCCAGCTGTGTGTACACATCTGAAACCTTATCCTGGCTATTAATAACAACATCACAGCATTCAAAATCCTCCTCACCTGCTGACGGGAACAGAGGGGTGATCAGGAGGGCTGTAGGGCCACAGCCAAAGCATTGAACAGAATGGGACAAGAGGCGAGTCCAGTGCTGGGAGCCAGCGCTGCAGCTGTGCCCCTCCCTGAGGGGACCAAGGACAGTGTGTACCTTCTGCCTGAGACATCATGGTGCCACTGGCCCTTGTCAAGGTGCTAGCACAGTCAGGATGGATGCTGGATGCAGTGTTGGCGTGGGGGGTGAGGCAAGGGCACCTCTCTGCCTGCTCCTTGGGATCTGCATGGGGAAGAAGCAAGGCTGTGCACATGGGGAGAGCCCCACGCAGCCCCCACTAGTGTCCTACAGGGCTCTGCACCTTCACCAGGAGAGATTTCAGGAAGATGCCGAGCTACTATTTGCACAGGCAGGAAGCAATTTTAAAGCAGCACCCCTTTTTCCCTCAAATGGGAACAACCTCTTTCTAGGACCCCCATTGCCTTAGGCAAGAAGTTATAGCCTCTTACATGCTCCAGCTTGCAGCAGCCAGGAAATCCCCAGGAAAAGCTGCTTTTCTAGGGCAGAGGAGCTGCTTCCTTAGGCAAGTCCCCTCCTCAAGCCTACCCATAAGGAGGGGGTAGGCCAGATCACAGATACACCCAGGTGCTGCACAGTGGCACCCAAACCCAGACCCTCAGTTCTGACCTGTCACCACCTGGTCCCGTTGTGTCCCAGGCCACCTGCACAGGCTCCCAGTCCTTCCAGTCCTGCTGGGTCACTGCTGAGCCACCGGAGTCACGAGTGAGCTAGGAAGGAAGGGTGATGCTGGAGTTGGCATTGGGGATCACTGCAGCCACACAGCCTAGATGGGAACATCTCAGGGCAGAGCGCCAGCCAGGCTCCAGGCACAGCTGGAGCATCGCTCTTGCAGGGAACAGCCCTCCCCTTCCTTCCCAGAGCATTTCCGTACTCGGGGAGAAACAACCACAAGCATCAACACTGAGCTGCCTGGCAGCCACCCCCAAAGCAGCCCATGCACTGCAATCCTAAATACCCCACTGGGCACCACTCAGGGCTTTAGACCCAGATCCCAGCTAGAGAAACCCCAAACTAAAGCCACCCACAGCTCTGCAGAGAGCTCACACCTCCTCAGGCAGCAAAGCCCTACAGCCTCACAGTAGCCAATATCCCACCCCAGAGCCTTGCAGGACCTAAATCCTGCCGCAGCCCCACCTCATCCCCACCCACAAGTGGGTTCCCACAATGGCCCTAAGTACCCACACCTGCTCCCCGAGCTCCACTTGCAGCCAATATCCCATCAGATCCATTGCTGTCCCCACACCCATCCCAGGCTGTGACCATCCTGATGTCCCCAGGTGAGCTGGGATGAATTGGGACAGAGCATTGCAAAGCCACTCCTGCTTCTGAACTCTGCTGCTTTGAAGCAAAAACGGGGTTTTCCAGCCTCTCCTTCAGGACCAAGGGATTTGCAGGCTGCACAGCTGCTCTGAAAACACTGTGCTATGGTTTCCGCTGCTTTAAAATCAGAACGCAACGATTTCCCACAGACCTGGGGATGGGGCCAAAGAACTGCAGAGGGTCCCACCCCTTTGGGTAGCCCTATGTCACAGCCTCCCTGCAGCGCAGGAGATGTCGTCCCATTACCTGATGTGCCCCTACGGGGTCCTGGCACTGCTCTGGTTCTCACTGGTGCTGTTGGGGCAGAAGCGATATGGGGCTCTGCCAGCCACTCCCAAAGCGCTCAAAGTCCACGGGGACAATGTTCCCAGCAGGGTGGCAGGGCCACTGCGTCCACACTCTCACACAGCCCACGGCCTGGGGACGGTGACACAACCTCACCGCTCTCCCGCTGCAATATCGACCCTGCTGGGACACAGCACAGCGTGCCGGGGACATGTAGGACGTGTAGGGGACGACAGAGGAGAGGCCAGAGCTGCTGCAGTGGGTGAGGGGCGGTGGAGACCCCCGTCTGTGTACTTCATTCCTTGCAGCATCCTCACTGTGGGGTTTAATCTAATTCAGGAGGGTTTGGGGGTTTAGACTGTGTTGTGCTGCACCACTTCCTGCATCTCAGCGTGGGGCAAAAAGGGGATGGAAAGAGACAAATGGGGCAGAGCGGGGCTGTAAGGTGCTGCACAGCACAGGGAATGGGGTCTGTGCAGCACCCGAGGGCACAATCAGAACCCACAGCTGCTGGGTGTCAGTGTTGTCCTCGTGCTCACCCCAGCAAAATAAAAAAATGCTCTGGGAAAAAAAGCCAAAGCTCTTTATTGAAACTGATCACATCCCACCCCCCCCCCCCCCCCCCCCCCCCCCCCCCCCCCCCCCCCCCCCCCCCCCCCCCCCCCCCCCCCCCCCCCCCAACACCTTAATTCTCCAGAGGCTGGAGGTGTCCCATACCACCAGTTTGGAATGAACCCTGAGAAAACCCAAAGCTTTTAAGAGCTGAGCACAGGATGAGCCCCAAAGAGCTGCAGAAATGCCCACTGTGGGATTTGGATGCACAGGGAAGTTCAGTGGGGTCCTGGGGCTGGGTGTGCAATCCCAGCTCTTCCTCCTGGATCTCTTGTCCCCCCACACACCCCCATGTTCCCCACCTCATTTCAGGTCCCTTCTTTGTGCTGGATGCTAGATGGATTTAAAGAGAAGCTGCCTGTTTATTTGTAGGTGCCACAAAAACACTCCTGCAGCACTCAGTCTACTCACAGTGCCCACAGTGCCCTGCTCAGGTGTCCATCACTCTAGGTCCCAGAGGGGCCACCATCTGTCATTGTGGCCCCAAAGCCACACTGCTGCACAACGGGGCCACCCATCTTGGGGCAGCACCCAAAACTGGGGGCTGTGCTACATGGAGAGAATACGGGACATTTGGGAGCCATTGGGGAAAGGGAAGACATGGGGACATGTGGTCAACTCAGGAATACAGGGGACATGAGTGGCATGTAGGGGGACACAGGGGGCATGGAGGAGATGGGAACATGAGGAGGATGTGCATGGAAGACTCGAGGGACGAGGGGCATGTAGGGAGACACGGGACATGGAAGACATGGGAGACGTGGGACGTGGGGGGACACAAGGGACATGGAGGACACAGTGGACATGGGAGGCATGTGAGCAATGTGAGGGTCACAGAGCACATGGGGGGACATGGGAGACCTGAGGACACCAGGAATGGGGACACACTGAAGCCACAGGGACCTGGGAGGACCCAGGGACAGGTAGGTGACCCTGGGACATGCAGGGGAACACAGAGTGCACATGGGACATGAGATGAAACAGGGGGGGTTTGGGGGGAATTCAGAGGACACCGATGGCATGGAAGGCACCCAGAGACATGGGGACACAACAGGAACATGTTGGCTGGGGAAACCAAGCAGGAACTGGGAACTGGGAATAGGTGTTAACTGGGAGCTGGGAACTGGGATCTGAGAAGTGAGAACTGGAGAAAGGATTGGTTCTGGGTATCGTGGGGTGGGAAATGGAAACTGGGAGCAGGGAACTGGGAGCAAGGGATTGGGAAGAGTTGGTAACTGGGATCTAGGAACTCAGAACAGAGAACACTGAGCTGGGAAGTAGGGAATGTGATTACAGTGTTGAGAACTGGGAATGTGGTGCTGGGAGATGTGAACTGGTAGCTGGGAAATGGGAAGTGGTGAAAGGGAACTGGGAATGGGGAGCTTTGAAAGAGGAGGTAAAATGGCCGGGAAGTGGGAACTGTTAGAAGCAAGTGTGATTTGGGAGCTGGAAACTGGGAGCTCTTGGAGCTGGGAACAGGGAAACGGAAACTGAACTGGCAGCTTGGAACTGGGAACCGTGACCTAAGAGCTCAGAAACGGGAGCTGTTAAATGGGAACTGGAAACCAGAGATGGAATTTGGGCACTTAAAATTGGCAACTGGGATCTAGGAACCACAATGGTGAGGGAAGAAGATACGGCGATGGGAGCCTTAATGCTGCTCGGTGTGCAGAGAGGAGCTGCGGCCACCATGAGGCCTTCCCTCAGCCTCCTCTGCTCCGGGCCCAACACAGCACAGAGTTTCAGTGCTCCTCACAGCCGTGCGCTCGGTCCCTCCCCCGTCAGTAACCCCATTTCTTGTGTGTGTTTCGGTACGTGGGTGAATCTCCCGAACGGAGCTGGAGACAGGCACAGCGCAGGGCTCCCCCAGGGCGGTAGGCCCGGCCTAGGCCGCAGGCCCCGCGCCCGTCGCCATAGCAACGCGAAGCGCGCAGGCGCAGAGTCTCTCGAGTCGGCCGCACGGCATCATGGGACAGCAAGTCCGCAGGGCTACACCCCCCTCACCCCGCCCGCGTCGTAGGACTACAGCTCCCATAAACCCTCGCAGCGGAAGCTGCACCCCTCCCCTTCCTCTACACCTCTCCCTCCCATTGGCTCCGCCGCGATGCCCGGCAGCAGTACGGCGGCGCCTGATTGGTTGGAAGGCGAGCGGGATGAGGCGGCGGCTATGGCGGACGAGCGGGCGGTGTGAGGGCTCGGCCGCCATTTTGTGTGTGTGGGGGCTCGCGCCAGGCCTCGCTGCCCGCCGCCGCGGGGCCGGTGAGCGGCCGGGGACTTCGAGGGGACTCTGGGCCGAGCCGGGAGCGCGGGGGAGCGGCTCCCTGCGGTGTTGAGTCCTGAGGAGAGCGGCGGAGGCCCGCGCGGTGCGGCCGTTCCGCTCAGGAGTGCGGGGCTGTGAGGCGGGGAGGGCCCCGGACAGGCCGCAGCTTCGGGGGGGGCCGCGGCCGAGGGAAACGCGGCGGAGGGGGCCGGTCCTGGGCCTCACCTGGGGAACGGGGGGGTTGCGGACATTGTGGTAGGAGAGCTGCGAGCTCGGGCTGTGCTGGGGAGCAGCGGTGTCTGAGTGACCCCGGTGGGCGCAGCGTGGGGGGAAACGGCGCATTTTTGTAGTGAAAGAGACGTTTTGGTTTAGAAACATGGAAAAGCCACACGATGACACAACGCGCGTTTAACGCACGGCAGCTGAAAAATGACCCCCCCGAGAACATTACCCTCAGTATCGCTCGGGCTCACGGGACCCTGAAGTGCTGCAGGACCCCCCGCAGCCAACACGGACCCACACGTCACCCCCAGAGCCCCACACTGCAGCCCCACCCGGCCCTGGGGCCCATCGTGCACCGCAGAGCCCCAGCCTGGGGCAGACGTCACTCTGTGCAGTGGAAACGAGGGCTGGGGAAATAACAGCGCTTGGGCTTGGTTCGGGTGTAAAGCAGCACCATTTGGGGCTTCTGAGTGTAGGTACTGCTGTCAAACGTGGGACCTGCCAGTCGCAAATCAGATTCTTTTCCATTTATACAACTGGAGGGTTGGTTTTGTTCTCTTTTTTTAAGAAAATGATCTATTGAAATAGGTTTGCTGACAAATATCCACATTGCTCTTAGTTCCTGTGTGCTGGAGCCTTGCACTTCATACACTGCTGCTTGGCCGGGCTGGGAGCTTTATTTCCATGTACCTCAGTGCTCTGTTCAGCCCTCACAACAAGGAAGACACCGAGGCCCTGGAGTGTGTGCAGAGAAGGGCACAGAGCTGTGAGGGCTGTGAGCACAGAGGGAAGCAGCTGAGGGAGCAGGGATGGGTCAGTGTGGAGAAGAGGAGCTCAGGGAGAACTAATTGCTCTCTACAGCGCCCTGGAAGGAGGTGGTGGTGAGGGGGGGTCGGCCTCTGCTCCAGGTAGCAGCGATAGGACGAGAGGGATGGGCTTATGTTGCACCAGGGGAGGAGCAGGTTGGATATTAGGAAATATTTCTGCTCAGAATGGGTGGTGGGGCAGTGGCACAGCTGCCCAGGGGGTGCTTGGATGGGGATCCACCGTGGGGATGTGGCCCCATAGCAGGCAGGGTGGGGTGGGATGGGGTCGGAGGTCCCCAAGGATCTTAATGGTTTTCCAATCCTAAAGACTCCGTGGTGCTCTGTGTCAGAGTGCCACAGCTGAACGTGTGACGTTGGTTGAACCTACATGCCCTGCGCCGGTCTGGTTGTGACAGGTGGGGTTTTTGGTGCTTTTTTTCCAAAGGGGGGTGAGCGGGAATGAAAAGAAGCCACAGAGTGGCAGATCCTGATGCTGCGGGGCAGCTGACGGGAATGCTGTGCGGGGTTAGCAGTGCCAGAGAGCCTCCTTTAAAAAGGAATCCTGCTTATAACAGCATCGTTGGGACGGCCAGAGCAGTGTGTGGTGCTGTGTCTTAAAGGTAACGAATAGATGGCACTGGAGCGAGTTAAGCCTTCGGGCTGGCGCTGTACGCAGCGAGCAGCAGCGATGCCAAAGCCGGGCCCTTGTGAGGAGGCACGGAGCGGCCGTGAAGCCGCCCCAGAGCTGCCGGCCTGCGGGAGCCGCTCCGTGCCGTCCCCTCGGCGGCGCTGCGGGGGGAGCCGAGTTTCGCTGAGCGCGGCCGTTGGCTGTTGCGGTGTTGGCATGCTGTTACAATGGACGGCTTCCCTTTTTGCAGCAGCGTTTTCAGGGAGCTGGGCTGCCGCTGCAACGCTTCCTGCCTGGAGAGCGGCTGGAAGCAGAGCGGGGTGTCCCGGCTCCCCCTGGGGCGCTTCAGCGGGCGCTGAAAGGCTGCGCTGCCGCTAAGTGCGAGTGCAGGAGGTGGGGTCGGAACACCTGCGGTGGGAATTAGGAGCAATTAGTGCGTGTTAAAACTCCTTCATTAAGCAGAACGTGGCATAAAGTTGGTAGAATCAAAGCAGGGTCGGGGAGTTGATGGTTATGGAGGGAGCAGCAGTGCTCTGAGCGGAGGCAGAGGTTCCTGTGTCTGTAAGTGCCGTCGTTGAAGTGTTTGCAGGTAACTCTGAACAAACGGCCGTTCTTATGAATTCAGTGTAACCAGTTTGGGGTCAGAGGGTGCGGGACGGCCTGTGTGAGCGCTGAACTGGTCGCAGACTTCACTTAGTAACAGCCGTGCTGCTACATTTCTCTGACAGTGCCTTGTGTGGGTTTGTCCCCTTCCAGGTGCCTGTGCTGCCCCGCTCACCAGGGCTCCCTGCTGCCGGAGTCGGACACGCAGCTCCCGAGGCCCCGTGCAGCGCTGCGGGGCTCCAGGTGGAGCGGGAGGCCTCAGCGGGCTGCTGCTTCTCTCCCTGAGCAATGGCTCCTAACGAGCGAGATCCCAATTAACTCAGCCCGCTCCTAACGAGCGAGATCCCAATTAACTCACCCCGCTCCAACACACGGAGTGGCGGCAGAGCCCTTGCAGCCACCCAGCGCTGCCGCTGCCCGGTGCTGTCATGGCAGAGGGAAGGGGAAAGGAGGCTGCGAGGCTCCTGGGCGGCACCCCTCGGTACCCTCCTGTCCTCCTTCCCACAGCTGCTGGCAGCGTTTGCCCCGAGCGGATTTTTTGGTCAAGCTTATGCTAAAACCTTCCTGGAGCCCCACGGCAGCCCCACGCCATCTTCCCCTTCCCCGGAGCTGACGTTCGTTATGAAATAAACCTGCCCCCGTAGGTACCGAGCAGGCTGCCTCCTCTGCGAGATGCGTTCCATAGCGCCCATCCTGCCCTCGGTTACACAACAGCCGCTCAGCCCCGGCACTGCTTCACCCTTCGCCCTCCCCCCCCAACTCCCCGTTCTTTCCCCCCCCAGGTACGGCACTGGGGACCGCCCCCCTCAGCCCCCCCCGCCCGCTGCCCAGCACTGCTGACACCACAACTTCTCTCTTTGCTGGAAGAGAACTTTTTAAGCCCCACTTATGGCACTGAGAGCATTTCTGGGGAGCTCTGCTGCGACCTCACCCCCGAGGAGGAGGAGACAGGAAAACGAACCGAGCCTTTAGGTGAGCAAATAAGCATTAGAAAGGTGTAAGCTGTGTCCGTCGTACGCGCAGCGCAGCGCGGTGCCCTCCTCCGTCGGCCCGGAGCCCACCGAGCGCAGCAGCGCCGGAGGAGCCTCAGTGCGCGCGGAGCGGTGCTGAGCTCCGTTTCTCCGAACCCCGCGGCGGAGCGGCCGAAACGCGCCGAAAACGATTCAAACTGCATTCCCTCGTGGGAGAACACTTTGAACGTTCCCCAGAAATCACACCGAAGCTGTTACAGTTACAAGTAATTAAATTTATTAGACCTCTATAATTTTTTTTTATAGTCAGTTTTGGCCAATTTACACTTTTTTTCTTTTTTTTTTTTTCCTTTTTGGTTTAAACACACACACACACGAGGAGGAGGGGAAAAAAAGAGCATCATCATGAGTTCACTTTGACAGCGACCCCTCCCCACCCGCCCCCAAAGGGGGAGGGCTGAGCGCCGCGTCCCGCAGCTCCGCTCCGAGGGTCGCTCACTCCGGAGCCGCCTCCGCCGCTCGCACGTCCCTCTCCCGCAGCAGCTGCAGGTTCTCCGCCCGCAGTCGGTCCACCTCCAGCTCCAGCAGCCGCGCCGCCTCCACCGCCTCGCCGTGCTTCTTGCTCTCCATCCTCAGGCGGTTGTTCTCGTCCTCCATGCGGGAGAGGCACTTCTCCAGCTCCAGGTACTCCTTCACCAGCTCCTGCTTGCTCATGTTCTGCAGGCTCTCCACGTGGTACCGCTCGTACGTCTCCGAGAAGTCCCTCTGCAGGAACTCGCTGCCGTCCCCCCCCATCCCATCGCTGCCGCCGTCCTCCTCGGCCGCCTCCTCCAGGAAGTCCTCCTCGCTCGTATCGTCCGATTTGGCGGCGGAGCGCCGCGGGTACAGCCCGGTTTTCAGGTCGGGCTCCTCCTGGTCGTGGTCCTCCATCAGGAACTGCGTGGTGTTGTAGGGCGCCACGGGCTGCCCCTTGGCGAACATCTCCGCGCGGAGCCGCGAGGCGCGCAGACTCTGCCGCTCGTCGAACTGCTGCTTCTCCTCCCAGCTCAGCTTCGAGTAGGGCTTCCAGCGCCGTTTGTTCTTCGACGGCCGACGGCGGTGCTTCTTCTTCGCGGGCCACTCCTGGGCGCGCCCCACGGCCGCGCGGTACCGCGGCCTCAGCCCGGGCTGCGCCGCGCCGCCTTCCGACGGCCGCGCCTCGTGGTCCCCCGCGCCCTCCGCCGCCGCCGCCGTCGCCTCCGCCGCCTCCTCGGGGGGCGGCAGCCGCCCGCTCTCCCCGTCCGTCTGCGCTTCGCCCCGCTCGGGGTCCGCGGGCGCCGCCTCCGGGGCGCGCTCGGCGTCGGCCATGGCTGCGCGCTCCGCTCCCTCGCGGACGGCCGCTACATCGGTCCCGTCCCCCCGGGCCGCGGGGTCACGGCCGCACAGGGGTTAACGCCGCCGGGCCCGCCCCCCCGCGCGCATGGCACGCGCCGCCGCCTCCTTCTCCTCCTCCCTCCGCGCCGCACCC